CATCATACCTTTATTTGCAAGTTCCTCTTTGATGCCAATGTGTCCCATCACAAATGCTAGAAGAGCATGCAACATGAAACAAAAATGAGAATCACTACACTCGGATGAAATGGTGTAAATAAAATCCTACAAGCTTTGCTTACAAATCATTATAATTTTCTTTTTAATCCACTAGATGAAACAAAAATCCAAACAAATAACTATAAAAATATTATTATTATTATTCATGATAACAACAATAATAATACGGAGTAATAATAATAATAATAATTACAACAAGAACTATTGATACAACAATAAATTTAACCGCGGACATGGGAATATACAAGACTTCCTTCCCAATGCTATCTTAGTGGTGCTTTCATAACATTGGGACTAATGCTATTATTACACAGACAATGCCAACCACCTCAAGAGCCCCACTGCCCACCGGAAACCTCCGGCCACAGCAGTCTATTTGAGGCTACATCCCAAACAGGAAAAGAAATCATGAAGGAATCAAAGCCCGGAAAAAATGGAAAATGGAAGATGGAAGTAAAAACGCCCGAATCCAACACCTTACAACTATGTGAAAAAAAAACGGAAAGTGGAGGAACTCAACACCAATCATTGATTCAAAACTCCCTTACATGGAATCACAAATAGAACTCCATTAATCAAACTACAATAATATCGCTATACCCTCTGCTAAGGGACGACCACTTCCGCATGTGCTCACAGCAAGCCGCCAAGTATATCCACTAGATTTCCCTAAATCCCCACAATAAAACCCTAGTAGTATACACAGAGTGGCCGTAGAGAAACAATGCGACGAAAAGCAGAGTACAGAGTATACTGTGCGCGCTTAGTTGCTTACCAGGCTATGGAAGCTTGCGCCGCCGCGTCGCTGAACTTTATAGGGATGAATGAAACTGGGAGACGAATGGGCGTCACAGAGTCCCACAGAAGAAGACGAAGGAGGAAGAGAGGCGAGGGAAGGAGAGAGAAAGAGGCGGCGTGGGATAGTGGGTGCGGAAAAGGGGGGAGAGAGGGGAGGAATGAATGAGAAANGGGGGGGGGGGGGCCACGAGGGGAGAATTTGAGATTTTGAATATACGCTTTGTTGGTTAAGACCGATGAACCATCGTCACTAGAGCCGAACCGGCGAGTGACCTCATTGGCCCATAGAGTATTCTCAAAAAGATTATAGAAATATTGAACAAGTTAGAAACAAATTGAAAGGATCCTCAAAAAAAATTGAAATGAATTAGAATAAATTAGAAAAAATTAAAGCAATAAAAAGAAACTAGAGAAAATATGAAAGATAAAGAAGTTCAGTTTTTCAAAATAAATACCGAGTATTAAATTTTTACAGTATCATATTTTTTTATTAAAATAAGTTATACTCTATTTAATTTGCATCTCAGTACCTTATATCCCGAAAATAGTGAGACATAGATTGGAGTAATCTTTTCTATTAGTTTTAATTGAAAAAAATTGACATGAAAAAATGATTTAACATTTGATTGATCATCAAAATTTTGTCTCAGACTGCACTTTATGCACTAAAATACTTACAAGTAATCATGTCTCAAAAAATGACCTCATCTGATCTGATTTTTTGTAGTTCTAATCTGATCTGATTTAATTGGTTCTGATCTGATCTCATAGTATCTGATCTGGTCTGATTTGATGAGATATGATCGGATCTGATCTAATTGAATCTGATCTGATCTGATTAATTATTATTTGATTTAAAATTTAAACCAAAAATTTGATATGACTTTATAATAACTTTTGAAAATTGTAATGATAATTCATATTATAATATAATCAATATTTTTTATGTTATAATTATTTACACTAAAATATACTCCGTATATGAATATCAAATGTTAATTTCATTTAAGTCATGATCAAAGTTGATCAACCTGATGTAGTAAAAGATCAAGACTTTAGAAATTCAAATTACAGGTAGCAATAAAAATGTATTTTAAAAGTAGAATTAGATTGACATTGTCAATGTATTTTAAAAATAATTTTCCAACGTCTAATAATTAAGGATTACTTTCTGAGTTTTTTATTTAACGTATTTCTAAAGTTTATTCTTTTTCATTTTTAAGAAAAAAATTGTGCTTCATATCATTTTATTTTTCTCTATATAAATTATAATCGCACAAAAGTTTCATTTTTTCTCTTTATATTTTTTCAAGAGAAATTAAATTTATTTTTTGAAAGAATCGTATCAAGTAAAACAAGTAAAAAGTATGGAATTTAAAATAATAATAAGAATAATAATAAAATTAGTAATAATAATAATAATAATTCTTGATTGGATCTGATCTGATCTAGTCTAATTTGATTGGATATGATTAAATCTGATCTAGTCTGATCTAATCTAATCTGATTTTAGTAAGAATAAAAAAATAAGTTCAACGAAACATGGCCTAAGAATTATATAAAATATGCACATAAATAGTCTCTAAGTCACAATTGGAAAGAATTTAAAAAGGTGAAAAGAGTTTGAACAAAATGGAAAGAGCTCGAAAAAAGTAAAGACTTGAAAGAAATCATAGGAAAGAAAAAAAGGGAGGATTTGAAAGAATCTATAAAATGTTGAATGAAGGAAGCTAAAAGTAATAAAAATTCAAAAGAACATGAACTTATAGCAAGAGTATACTTTTCAGCGGGGCTGGGTTGGAAATGTGAAAAAAAGAGATTGACTCGGTGCAAAATTCAGGCATTGGGTGCTATTTTATTTTTTTCAAATTACTTGTGCTTTAAATGTAGTGTTGAATATGATTTTTAATAACTACTTTTATAAGAATTTTAATTTTAAAATATAAATTTATATTAAATTTTAAAATATCAAGTAATTAGAATAATTAACATTTAACAATATGGGATTCTAAAAGTCAAGTGGCCCTGTGCGAGTGGACGCCTTGCACACTCTCTAGACCGCCCATGCCTTTGACAACAAAAAAATAAAAAAATTGATGTCCAAATATCCATTTACGTAAGTTCAAGAGCATCTCCAACCATGCTTGTTATATGGATTTGCTATTTTTACATTATAGCAAGTAAATAGTGATATAACAAGCACTTTTTTGCTTCCTTCTCCAACCATTATTTGTTATTTCATTTTTTAAGTATTGACTAGCTAAATTTTGAGAGACTTGTCATATTTAGCAAACCAAATTCATTTTTTGGCAAACTTGCTAAAATAAAGCATGCCCTTTGGACAAGAGCAAAAGTGTTTAACTAGTTATATTATAACTTTTAGCAAGTTAAAATGATATGGTTGGAGATGCTCTTAGTTATTGATGCAATAACATAACCACAAACAAATGTGAGCTTTCATGCGTTTACACGAATATATAATGTTTGTGTATTAAAAAGCACTTTTTTTGGATAATATTAAAAAGTACTTTAAAAATAAAGAATCTTAAAATAAATTTTAAATTTCAAGAAAAATAAAATAAACAAATTACCATTTATTACATATATCTATTTCAAATATGGGATTTAATGCGAAACAAATATGTATACATGTTAAGAAAACTAATAAACTACTACTACTCTCTCTATTCCACAATACCTCTATTAAGGATTAATAGAGTATTAGATTTTGAATGAATCTATATTCAACACTCATTCAAAATCTAATTATTTAAAAACATTAATCCCAAATTATTTGAACGTATGCTTTTTCAGCACTCGCGGGAACTTTTGTTTATTTCTACGTTTTCATTAGTTATTTGATAAGATAAAATATTCTTAACACCTCTTATTTCGAAGAACTTTTCATGTAGTTTTTTTATATGTAAATTTTATTTTTTATTTCTATATCAATAACAACAACAACATCCCAGGTGAATCCCACTACAGTAGGGTCTGGGGAGGGTGTGTGTACGCAGACCTTGTCTCTACTCGGAAGTAGGGAGGCTGTTTGCAAGAGACCCCCGGCTCAACCTGTACAAAAATATGAAAGGGAACACAGTAATGATGGTGTAAATTATCGACCGGTATATCGTTTTAGCCCGGCAAAACGATAAACTAGTCTAAAAAATACACCAAATTATAAACACGAGGATTTTGACGTGGAAACCCAAATCGGGAGAAAACCATGGGCCTTTTTTGGCGATACCTTGCCAACGGGGGATTTTTATTAATATCGGGGGTGTGTACACGGTACATAATTTAGGCGTAGAAGCCATTAATGGAAGCTTGAAGCTTCTTTGAAGAATGAAAATGCACAATAATCTAGAGAGAGAAACGAAGTGGGCAGTGGAGAGTATAGAACTTGGCCTCCTCCAACAATTAGGGCAACCCTCCCTTTTATAGGAGAGGGTGAGAACATCTACGGAGAAATATTCTCTTATTCCTCTATTTTATTAAACATGCCCGGTTTAACTGTTTTTTGTAAATAATTGGGAAATGTGGGCCGAGCCACGTATTATTTCCCATCAAGAAGTCCTCCAGTTTTTTGAGTTGTGAGAATCATCAACTTAAAAAAGTAAACAAGTCCTCCGAGTGTGATCTTTAGTCTTCGTACTTTGAATTCTTGACCGGTAGAAATTATTGCTAGTCCTTCGAGTCTTCATTAATTCTCTAATTTCTTGAATCAGAAGTTTTTTCCTGTAAAGAATAATTTGTACAACATTTTTTTTGACCGGTCTATGCCGTGCTCAAAAAATTATTATTTTTACCGAGGAGCTCAGTGTTACATGATTAAGATTCGCGCGAATAATTATCGTAATGAGAGCGATGTCAAGCAAACGATGCGTGACGAAATTAGTATACCGATGACAACGACCTTAGTTAATAAGAATTAAATCCGATGCGGCAGCTTTGTTGAAGACCAGTGTTAGCCCAGCTGACTGATTTAATATCTTCATGTCTCACGAAGACCATCTTCGATCAAAGTGCCTCAGATTGAGGGCTTAAATGAGTCGGGCGTCCCCGATATGAGCTTTGCTCACTTTTTTGCTGAAACCGATGTGCAATCGATGTACCCAATTCGATTGGGCTCAGGCTTATTGGAAAATATGTGTAAGACTGGTGTGAGACCAGTGTACCAGTTCGACTGGGTCACATATTTTCTTTATTATACTGAGCAAGACCGGTGTAGTAACCAGCGTGCCAGGCCAGGCCTGTGTCTCAGTCTTCCAATAAGATAATGCTGCTGGCCAGGCCAGATCAACATTGGAGAATTAACCATGTCGGATGGTTTCGAGCACTCTCCAAGGCCCAAAATGCACCCTTCTTCCAGGGCCCCCTCTTCCGGGTGATTAAGTCTTTTAATGGCCCTTTGATATTTACTATCCCGGGAAGGCCTTAGCTCACCCCCCCGTTCAAGTCTTCCCTGAGAAGGGGAAATAGGATGCGCCATGGTGGACGATACCTCTTCTATTTCTTTTAATGAGCATCTTTTAGTCCCCAATCAGTTTGCCAGTCTCGGCTGATTCCCCGATACCGGTCAAACCTCATGGGCCCGTGTAAGTACGGTTCGAACCTTCTTCCAGGTCCAGCCCTCTTGCAGGCATACCCTCTTCCAGGCCCCTCTTCCGGGTTTATTATTTTTTTATTTTATACTGAGCAAGACCGGTGTAGTAACCGGCATGCCAGGTCCGGGCCTGTGTCCCAGTCTTCCTTTCCAAAATTTGTTTGAGAGTATGTGACAGCTCCTTGGTAGAGTCCACTAGCACGGAACGTTGCAGGGAGTACTCCTCCACAGGAGTATAATTCCAAAGGTCAAAAAGATCCCACCATTTTGATTCATTAGTATTCGGACTTATCCTTTTGTTGAATATTGATAGGGAGCAAGTATCCACCCTTCAATCTCCAATATTCTCTATAATTGATAATCAAAGGCCATGGATAATGGCATGTCGTCCCCAATTTATTTCCAATCCATGCACTGCTTCCCTTTTTCATCAATTAATGTTGGCCCCTTTCTTCACATGCTGGCCACTTTTCTCTTTGTTTGATTCTTCAAAGATTCATACAAGGGGTGCATTCCAAGATGTAATAGGACTAGTAGACCCTTCTTCCTTCCTCCTCTGACCGTCCCATCTACTTTCTCCTTTTTATCTTCTTTTTTTTTGTAGTTGTTGTCCTCTTTCACTTTGGCCCGTCTCTTCTTTGCATATCCCAAACACTATTTTGGGTGGGGCATAACACTTGACCAGGGAAGAAGTGACGATCTGTGCGACCAAGAGGTGGGGTGCTGAGGTGAAGCGAGCTGCATCCATCCGCCCCTCTGGTGGTCTGGTTCAAACGGGATGCGGGTGTTCACGACAACCTCGAACTCCAACTGTTATGGCAGCAGATTTGAGGGGCGAACTGAGTCATCCGGCCTCGCAGTTGATCCAATCGCATCCGCAAATTGTGGCCCCCTCCAAGCAAAGATTAGTGGCTTTTTCTCGAAGGCGTAGCTGTAACCGAGTTTCAATACTATGGATGGCGGTGGAGGATCTTAATAGTGACCCAGTAAATTGGAGTAACAGGTGCCTCGATGGTTGATTCCGGCTATAGCAACGAAGAACATTGGCTTCGCTAGTGATTTGCTTCAATGGCAGCGACCGGAAATCTCTTCTGTTCCCTTCTACAGCGATGGTCGATGGCAGCATATGTCTAGACCGCAATTGCAGCGGTGACAGCAGTCAATTGCTTATGATGACAAATATGCGCCGTAGTGATAGATTTAGTAGCTACGGCAGTGGCAGGTCGCCATGTACGCCGCCCAAAGCGTCAGTGTTTGAGGGATCTGAAGCTTGAAAGTCCCCTTAGTGTGCTCTCCGGTCTCATATAGAGAAGAGCGATTGGGCGGCAACGAAGACGAGATCAGAAGGTACTGGTCCTTGAAGATCCAGAGGAAGTCGTTGGAACCACAGATCGGGGAGGCGTCGAGGAAGCTGAATGGGGAGGCGTCGGAGAGATTCAAAACTAGATCGGAGTTGGAACTGGAGATGGTGACGGCGGTGTGGTTTGCAGGCAGCTTTCAGCAGCTCCAATGGTGGCTATGAAGATAGCCAACTTCAAGCAAATTTGTGGCGCCTAGATCTCGAGCGAAGTGGTGGTGATGAATCGAAGCAGTGAGAAAAGTCTACTGCAACTATCACTATATTACAACTCCGACCGGCCTTAATACAACCACGACAGATTTCAACGACGAGCTCCGATACAACCACAGCCATGCTGCGACAGTGATGGTATTGGTGGCTTCAGCGATCTGCGGCAGTTGCGGGGTGGGTTGCAGCAGCGGTGGCTCCCGTCAGGCCGTCACTGTGGCAAAGGTAGCTTTGAGAAATCGAGGACAGCAAGCATGATAGACATCAGCGGCGGTGCTCCTATGGCCGTTCTTCCAATTTTCTTCGGATTTCTCTCTCTTCTTTTTCATTCCTTCTCCCTCTCCCTTTTTTTGAGCCACTACAACGCAATTTTTGGGTCTCTTCGAAGAACCAATTGAAGGAATTGAAAATTTATGGCTTTTTGTTCTGGTCCACGGGTGGCGCCAAAATGATGGTGTAAATTATCGACCGGTATATCGTTTTAACCCGGCAAAACGATAAACTAGTCTAAAAAATACACCAAATTATAAACACGAGGATTTTGACGTGGAAACCCAAATCGGGAGAAAACCACGGGCCTTTTTTGGCGGTACCTTGCCAACGGGGGATTTTTATTAATATCGGGAGTGTGTACACGGTACATAATTTAGGCGTAGAAGCCATTAATGGAAGCTTGAAGCTTCTTTGAAGAATGAAAATGCACAATAATCTAGAGAGAGAAACGAAGTGGGCAGTGGAGAGTATAGAACTTGGCCTCCTCCAACAATTATGGCAACCCTCCCTTTTATAGGAGAGGGTGAGAGCATCTACGGAGAAATATTCTCTTATTCCTCTATTTTATTAAACATGCCCGGTTTAACTGTTCTTTGTAAATAATTGGGAAATGTGGGCCGAGCCACGTATTATTTCCCATCAAGTATAATACGGGTAAAGAGCTATTTCTATACCAATATGTAAATAAAATGAATTGAAAAAACTTGATATTTTGTCTCGGGGATACAAGTGTGACAAATATTTAGGGACGGAGGGAATAATTTGATCAATATACTCCCCCCGTTCATTAAAACCCTTCCTCTTTCATTTTTTGTTTTCCTTAAAACACTTCTTTTTTCTATTAAAAAACCACTTTTACCCATACTTTTTCATACCATATCTATCACATCATACTTTTTTCCACTAATAACTAAACTGTCACATCTTACTTTTATTCATCACATCAGAAGCAAAATTGGAAACTCAACTAAAATTACACTTTTCTTATTTTGCCCCAAAGTCAAAGCAAGAACCGTTTCAAGGAACGGAGTAACAATTTTGAATTAAAATAATATTGAAAATTAATTTGGTAGTTGAGCCTAACGATATAAACTACTACTCTCTTCATTCCACAAAAAACTCTCTATTGATGATTATTTGATACATTAGATTTTGAATAAAGGTACACTTAAATATGTCTATATTTATTCGAAATCTAATTTTCCTAACAAGCCTTACGGTGGGGTTCTAGTGATACTGGAGAACGGTGCCACTAGCGGTGCCACTGGGATTTTGGGGCACTTCCAATGCTTAGTTCGTAAAATTGACGGTTCCTACCCCCTAAACTCATCACTCTACCTCCACCCCAACCCCGCCATGCATAATAGCCACACATTTTGTGGGGGCTTACGGCGGGGTTGGGGTGGAGGTGCAGGGGTGAGTAGAATGGGGGGTTTAGGGAGTAGGAATCGTCAATTTTACGAACGAAGCATCGGAGGTGCCCCAAAATCCCAGTGGCACCGGAGTGGCACCGTTCTTCGGTGTCACTAGAATCGGACCGTAAACCTTAATAAACCGTTATTGGAGAATGAAGGGAGTAAACTTGTAACTTCGTAAGGCGCATTTGATACCACGTTATAAAATCATGATTGGATGGCGTAATATAGAAAATAAAAATAAATGGCCAAACACCGTTTCCATCCAAAAATAACGAGTATACCTTAACAATCACGTAGCCACAAAGAGATTTGATTTTTGACCTCTGGTGCGTGCTCCCAAACAAAGTGACGGAGTCTTGAATATATTAAATTATAAAATATGTGAATGAGAATAATTGAAAATAATTTTTGTCTTCTTTATTTTGTGTATTTTCGGCTAGGGCTACCAATCATATATGGAGAGAAAGATTTTAGCTACTATATATAATCATCTCCAATTCTCCACCCCAAAAAAAGGTAGTTACCTTTTAGGAAATAAAATAACACTCCCTATCAAGCTGCATATATATGGAGTATATTTTACTTAGATAAAATAGTAAATTCCCAAAGTGGAATCCTACCATGTGACAATTACATAAAGCCGGAAATATGATAAATTTTTTTACAAAAAAAGAAGGTTTTAAAAACAAAAGATGATTTGACTATAAGTGTGTTAAAATAAAAAAAAAAATACTTCCTCCGTCCCAATTTATAATGTCTGTTTACTCATACGGTCAAATTTCATTCACTTTCTTTTTCAATTTTCGTTAGCAATATGATAAAATAAAGTACTATTGTCACTAGCTACTAGTTTTGTAGATCTTTTGATGTAGTATTTTAATATGTAATTTTTATTTTTTAACTCTATACCATTTGTCATATAAAATGATTTGAAAATAATTTCAGTCAAATATCGTAACCCGAAACAGACACTATAAATTGAGACGGAGGGAGTACTACGCACAATTTCATAGTTTAAAAATATTGTTTTTATGATCGATTTGATTTTATTACTAGCTAGACACTTTATGATTTATTTTCCTTAGATGATTTATGATTTAAAATTAAAAAATAAAATATTTTTAATTATCTCTTATGCTAAGATATTTTTAATTAAATTCTAGAATACAATTGACAAAAAAATGTACCAACATTATTTCTGATTTCAATAATACTAGGTTTTAAATAAATTTAACTATAGTATAGAGAGTATCACTTTAATTTTTTAATACATTTTTCTAACTTTATATTTTTCCACCTCATTTTTAATTAATGCAGAAGAGAATAATCATAGAATCACTAATATTTTTTCCTTATTATTACGGAGTATTATTTTTGAATTAATATGGGAAAAATAGAATCATATTTTTTTAAATTAATACGTCGTAGGAGATTCACATTAATGCGGGAGAGATGAATCAATTTTTCCTTGCCCAAACAAACACAAGGCGAGAATCATTTTTTTTCATGAACGGCGATTAGATTACAATTGAGATAATGATTGGAATCAAATGTTCGGAAAATGAAAAAATATTTTTGGAGAAAGTTGTGCCATTATGTTAGTGATAAACATTGATAAAATATATGAATTGTATAATAGTATAAAGTTAATCATTAAAAAGTTGCAAGGAATCATCTTTAGCGCAATTATAGTATAGTACTTCGTATTACGAAACAAAGTCACGGAGACGGTTTACACCTCCATAAATGAATTATGTATCATTTCATACTGAATTATCTTTGAATTTTCAAAGAATATAATTTCCATTAGTTTAGGTTTCATTATTACTATAAATAAAAGTCAAGGTCAAACAATGTCATTTATAGGATTATTTTTTACCAAGTTGGTATTGAGTTACGATTAATTTTATATTGTAGTTCTGCAAGTAAAAGTACATATAGGGTTGAAAATATTAGTTTTAGAAGCATTTGGTACTTTTCACTACATCACAAAAAGTGTTGAATACTCAGAGTTTTGCTATCGTAACTTTAAGATCTACATGTGAAATATAAACTTTCTCACATATTTTTTATGGACTTGTAATTAGATCTCTTTCATTTTATAAAGCCCAAAACAAATAGTCATTCCTTGTCTCAAGATTCATATAATACTCGTAATAAGTATGAACCTTAGAACAACGAAAGAATTTGCCATATACTCAATATATTTATCATTATTTTAACATGTAAGGTTCATATTTTAATTTGATCCTTTTTTGACAAAATTTGTAGCAAAGAAAAATCATAAAACTAAAGGAAAAAATTAGTTCCATTTCGTGCATGGCACAAGTTAAAATACTACTTCCTCCGTCCTAAAACTATCTTACCAGTTACTATTCACACGGTCAAACTTAAATCACTTTCTTTACCTATTTTCGTTAGTTATTTGATAAAATAATATAGCCTTATTACCTTTTGTTTTTGTAGAAATTTCGATGTAGTTTTTAAACATATAATTTTATTTTTTAATTTTACACCTACAATCATAGAAATTGAATTGAAAATAAAGTCGATCAAACCTCGTAAACACAAACGGGAAGATGGTTTTTGGACGGAGGGAGTAGCATGATTAAAAAATATCATTTTCTAATCTTCAATTATTATATAATTAAAATAACAAATACACACACACACACGCGATATCATGAGTAATGTTAATCAATTCTTTTCAATTAAGATTAGAGTTTAGAATACTCCGTAATTTTTAATAAATCATGCTGAATTTTAAGGACGTTTAATCTAAACGTACACCGCATTATAAGATTCTCATTGAAATCAATCAATAAAGATGGGACAAATACACAATCATTCAAACTCTTTATCCGCCGGTGCAATTTGTATACAAAGGGCAAAAATTGTTCTATTTCTGTTCAGCTGGGACAGAAGATTACCCATTTCCTGTCTCCGCCGCATGCTTGAACTGAGGCTTCGTAGGGAACACAAAAACAGTGGCGGCTGTGACAGAAGGCTGAAAGCCCGCGGTGTATCTCACGGCGGTCACAGTGACCCGAGGAAGCTGCTGAAAGCCAGAGGCAAGGGGTACAACTTTGTAAATGAGAATGTGATTGGACTTCGGCAGAACAAATATGGTGTCATTGTGGGACCCGGACAGAACGAAACTCTGGGAATCCGCCAAAGAGTACCTGATCTCCTGGAGCAGCGGCGTTCTGTTGCTGATTTTGATTGAGTAGGTGAATGCATCCCCGAGTACCGCGTGAGGAGGGGTGTTTAAGCTCAGAACCAGAGGAGGAGACTCGATTTTCACATCTGGAAGGCTGTGTTTGGTCAAAACCTGACCAGAGGAACTATTGCTACTCTCAGAATCCCTTCTCCATCTCAACTCCACTGCTCCCATCTTCAACACAGAGAGAGTTCCTTTAGGAGTGACCGGGAACACTTTCTTGAACTCTTCTCCGGCAACAAGACGTGTGGGCCCCATTGTGGCGTCCTCGTTGCTTGCATCGATAGACATTGATTCTAGGAGCAAAGGCACCTCTGTGGTGTTCTTGGCTGTGACAATGAGGAAACTGGTCTCATTCGAAGGAAGAAAAGGTGATGTTTGATCTTCGGGATCAGAAGCTGATGGTGGCTTGATCTGAGATAGGAGTAAAGGGTCCCGCCGGAAAGGCAACATAAACCGATGGCTCATCACAATACCAGTTTTCCCTTCAATCTGCAAGCTTTTATGAACATTGACTTTCTGTGTGCTCTTTTCAGTGCCAAGGGGATAGTAACCCAATGACACATAAAGCATGATGGGTTTAGGGCGGTTCCATCTAATCTCCAATTCACAAGACCACGAGTCTCCTTCGTTTAAAAAGGGAACAGGGATCAATCCAAACGAGGGTTGGATTTTCTGAATGTTCTCAGAACTAGCTACGGATTTATCTTCATGATATTGTCTAGAAATGGAAACAAGCTCCACATGGAGATTATCTATTGAGAATGACTCTGCCTCCCTGGGACTAAGCAAGCCGCCACCTCTTGTGTCCACCAGATTAATCTTCAGTTCACCTGAATGGACTGCATGTCCCTTGGAAGTAATAATCACGGGAATGGTAAATATCTCCCCAACCAAAGCTGGGCCAGAGGATGCCAAGTTTAGATCTACTCGTGGGTCTGGTTCTTCTACCTGGACAGCTTTCTGACCGGAAAATGCCAAACTCGGATCTTTGGTTGGTATGCTTTCCACTCTGTTTTCATACTTCCAGAGTGGCAAGTCATTCATTGAGGCAGGACTTTCGGCTCTGCATGAGATTGAAAAAGACAGCCCCATTCTAGCAATCACATATATGCATTCCAGTTTTCCGCTTAGCTCTGTATGGTTTTCAAAAGTCAGCTTATGATGCTCATCATCACCATCATGATTATTTTGATTATTGTTGTTATTACTACTCTTCATCTTACTATCATTGTTTTAAAGAAGGGCAAGAAACAAAGCTTGTAATTTCTAATGTAAAAAGCAGCAAACTTAACAAGAAAAAGTGACTAGGGCAGGAGAAGAGAAATAAATACTCCGTAAGTTCTTGCAAAGATAAATTTTATGTCCACAAGTCTATATTTCTGTAAAAATATTAACCACAAGTTAGAATCACCATATGGTGTCTGTTCTGTTTGGCTAGGCTGTAGCGTTTCTGTTATTAATGTGTCATTCAATTATCTAGACTTACTAGGAAAAGGGTTATTTGAAAACTTCAACCTGAGGCTATTTTTTCAAAAAGAGTTCTTAAGATTTATCCCACATTTAAGCAAGCACTACAACTCTAGGTTTTGATTCGAGCTGAAAAGATCAACTGCAATATAACAGTAAAGTTTCTAGCTGCACCAGGCATAAGAGCATCTCTCTGTTATCAACAGGTTTAGTTTTTATTTTTATCTTTATTTTAAACGCTACGTAGGAACTATGATGCATGCGGTAATGACTGAACAGGTAAAATTTCTGATCATAAGTGCTTCATCTCATCATCTGCTAACTTTTATGCAGTTATTGCTACTCAGTCACACACCCATGTTTAAACCCATGTTTAAAGATCACATGCACCTAGGGACAACATTACCTAACCTAAAAAGATAAAAGAGGCCAAGCATTATAGACAATGTACTTGGAATTGTAAATTCAAAATGCCAACATATGCAACCAACTCACCAGATTTTATCTCATATGTCAGCCGTATCCATTTGTTGGTAATGAGTTCCAAGGTAGGTGCTGTCTCAACTCGCCGACCAGGCTGCACACAAGAAATTGCAGCTAAATGGGACCTTTGACCGTTTACGATGATAAAATTACACTCGGACTGATTAAATTGAATTTCCAACTGATCAATCTCAACATTAAGGGGCAACTGTGACAGAAGAGACAAAGTAATCATTGTTGGCGCACCAGGCTTAATCATTTGTTCATGAAAAGCAACTGATGCGAGAAGTACTGCTCTGAGAGGGCTGATAAGATCAATCTCAATATAAAGAGGCTTATCAGCATGTACTCTCAGGCTATCATTCTCTCCACTCCCAGATTCATCCCCTCTGACAACTGCAAAGACTTCCTTGTGTATAGTCTCTCTTTGTGAAAGACTTGAATTTGGTAATGCAGCCATTTCAAGTGAGTATTCTACAAAATCTTTCACTATTCCACATTTCCTTGAGCATTCTCGCAAGTTACATAGGGCATCCCATAACAAGGTAACCCATCCTTCTTGTCGATAGAGATTTGTGACACTGTCTAAAATTTCTTTTGCATTACTAAATTCACCCATAGAAAAATGCTCCCTAGCTACTTGAAGTTCACAGTATCCTGCCATTCTGAGCGCTTTAATGTTGTTGAATGCTTCAGATGATTTTCTGAAGAGAGCAATAATTTCATAGGAATCTTGGAATCTTTTCCCCTCAGATAGAACATAACGCACATATTCCTCATCAGTAAGGCTGCAAAAGCAATCGAGCATAATGAGATAAAAAGAATAGGGAGAATGGGATGAATTCAATGATATTCATCGATCCAGCTGAAACATTGCCGAACTCACGGTTGTAAAGCCATATTTTCTTCAAGAAGCCTTCCAAACTGACCAGTATATGTGGAAGCCATCACAGACTCTACACTGCTATCTATCTCATCAGAATGCTCTGACATAGATAGTGCAAGTTCAAGAGATAAGCTCTTCTCCTTCAAGTATTGAGCGGATAACTGTATGACAGAAAATATTAATGCTAAAGCATAATATGGATGGTCCTATAACTATCAAAGTACAGCAGATTGTGAGGATACTCAAACACAAGTTATAAATTAAACTGTGTCACAAATCAAGAAGGAGAGTTGGGTGCTGATTAACAGACTAGTCTTTGTGGCAATACACTCTTAGGGTGCTGATTAACAGGTTAGGCTTGGAGTAAATGAGCAATTTTTTTTTTGGGGGGGGGGGGAGGTGCGGAGGTGGCTCCTACCCCTTCTAACTCACCACTGTACCACTATTGAATGCCGATATTTAAAAGTTGAAGGTGTAGCAAATGAAAAAACAAGAAACAGGATTGCATGCTACATTTCTACAGAAGTAGAGAGAATGGTGAGACTTGCACCTAAAGAATTTAAAAAGAAGAGCTCCAAAACCTGGAAGTAATAAGCCGAATGGAACTCCCACTCTGTTGGCGTATTTGCAGTGCCTGAAACTACAGAGGATGTATTGTGATTGGTGGCAGAGCTTGTCTCTAGTAGTTCTGCAAACACCAAAAACTGCCGGCTCAACCACTCCCAATGAAGAAAAGTAACTTCGGGTGCCCCAACAAGCTGCCTGTAAGAAGCATTATGCTGCCGAAACCAGGATATTGCCTCTAAAAGTTTTCCACCGTGCAGTAACAATGTCGAGATCTTAAAATTCAGTTGCTCAGTGACAGTCTTGATCTCAACTAAACGTTGAATAGGAGGCAATCTTGTTGATGTAGCAACCATCTGTATAAAATGAAAAACAACCTTTAATATGAGAAGAGAAGGTATTATAAAGATACAGATGACCACAGAGGAAAGCATTTCTTAATATTCTCATCAAAGAAAAAGAATGACAACTCACTTCTCTTAGTACGTGATATGCATCCTCATACATCCTCAAAGCTTCACCCCAGTCTCTACGAAATTCTGCATATACAGCAACCTAGCAATTCACAGCATATACTTGCAATTAGGGAACCAAATGATGTGGAAACATAAGCCAATGGCACAAACACAGCACATAGTATCTCACTGATTAAGCCTTAGCACATTGATTGAGCTTCCATTAGTAGGCAAGTTGCCTATCATGGCTATGATGAAAAAAATACATGTCAATTACTAGCCATAATTTGGGGGGGGGGGGGGGTTTGGTATCAATTTCTTCAAAATTTTGTTTTGGTCCGGTAGGCAGGTTGATGTGAAGAAAACCATTCCAACTCAATTTAACCACTAACATATTGCATACTCTCTACATCCCATTTTATCATGCTGACTTTGATTGGGCAAAACTATGAGACTGAAATTTATGCAGAGAAATAATATGAATGAACCACATAATGATTTCTATAAATGTAAGCATGCATCATGAATTGGGACGGATAAAAAACAGACATGAGAAAGTGGGACCAACTGAGTGCACCATTAAAAATATCAAGCCTGTAACAATAAGATTGCTAAATAAATCCCAATTAGTTCATTTCATACAACGTTGTGGTCTGTGGGAGATGGGTCGAGATGTAGGCAACCTTACCTCTGTAAAACAGAGAGGTTGTTTCTGTCTAATATAATTACAATATATTAATCAAATGATGTAAATAATCATGTTAGAGTTTGGTTTATAGTTTGTGTTGATTTAATTTGATTATGGGCTAATATATATTTGTAAATTGATTTTGAACTTGAGGTCCAAACTAACCCCCAATTATGTGGTTGGTTCAGTTGAACATGATTAATAGTTTGGACTGCATACAAGCCAAACTGCAATAACCTGATTTGTGTTGATTTAATTTGATTATGGGCTAATATATGTATGTAAATTGACTTTGAACTTGAAGTCCAAACTAACCCCCAAGTATGTGGTTGTTTCAGTTGAACATGATTAATAGTTTGGACTGCATACAAGCCAAACTGCAATAAGCTGTATTTGCCTTGAGGATGGAAAAAATGAACCAACCCATGCCCACCCTCCGAAAGTTTAGACAAGTAATGTTGTAACATACTTCCAGCATCAAATCTGATTAAAACAGAAGGATTACTTTGAAACAATATCGAATATTTAACTCTACAGATGGATAGTTTCTCCTTTCAAGGCGTGTTTTAATTCTTCTTCCTTCATCTTTATAGTATCCATTTGCCAGTTCTGCAAATGTACTTCCCAGCCTACAATAGATTCATCAATTATTAGCATTGCATACTAAAAAATGCAAATTGAATCATGATATATACTGAACAGAAACCATGCCTCTTTAAGGAGTGTTGTAGCCTTGATGGCTCATCTGGGACAAACACAATAAGGTGTTTTGGGTCCAACTCTGCACGCTTTCTCAAGGCAACCATACGGTCTTCGCTAAGTTCATCTGCGTCGTAACAGTTGATCAAGTTGTCAACGCCGAGCCCAATGATATGGTTTTCGAAGAAAAATAGAGAATCAATGTTAACACAAGCATTAACAATATCAATGTGTGTGCTCTGTTAGAAATTATGCATGCATTCAATTCTCTTACACTATTGATTTACAACAAACCATCATACAGAACACTACAACTTTAAGTGAAGAATACATAAATGAAAACAAACAAAATATCAAGAACTTCATAAAGATTAGGCCATTTGGGATATGCATCCATGTTAAGATTTTGCACACTTTGTGCTTTCTTAATCATAATGCAACACAATATGAGAGTCCAAAACATATAAACTTCGAACCAAAGGGAGTAAACAACTTCTTGAATACACATGCATTTATGTATGTATACTTAGGGAGTTTGTTTTGATAGCCAATACCATGTGGTCAATTGAAAAACTCAATAATCCATCTCTTTTCCCAAGATCTAGTAGAAGATTTGTTTTTCAACTAGATACAGAATGATCAGATCCTAGGTCCTCCACATACCAACTACCATACCATAGAGCATCAGGACTTTTGGAGACACAAGTGGAGTGGTCATTGAATCTGTTCACAAGTATTCAGCAAAGATCAATACATCTCTCATGTATGATTCTAAACAGTTACATTATCATGATTTGCATGGGACATTGAGGTGCAACGAAATTTACACCCCTAAAGTAGAGTTAATATTGTTCATGTTTGAAGAGTTACCTTGACCAGAGTAGGAACAAAACCTATAATTAGGTGCAACAAACCCCATAGCCAGTTAGCCACTTAAGACTAGTTGATCAAGGGAGCCATACTTTTTTACGTTGCCGCCTAGTGGCTATGGTATTTGCCACACATAATTATGGATTCGGTTCCTACTCCAATTTGAATGACTTTTTGAACAAGAACAAAATTGGCGTAAATTCTGCTACACTTCAATATCTAATACAAACCATGATAACTTTTGAGAATCATGACATGGATGAAGTACTGATCTTGATTGAAAACCCCTTGTGAACATGCTTCAGTCCTTTCTCCAGAGCAGGCGATGATTATGGTATGGTATGAGAAAGGCCAAAATTCAACAATTATTTATCTAGTCAAACAAGAACTCACTATCATACCCCTAGGGAAAAAAGATGGATTATCGAGTGTTTCAATCAACTGCAAAGAATTAAGAATTACACTTGTTCCACAATAAACTTCACACTTTTTTGTGGTTCCAAAATAAACTTCACATGTTTCCCTCATTCCCTTTACGAAAAAGAAATATGTGTCTCAAAAGAATTCTTTTTCTATTCAAATCTTGACCACTTTCCACTTTTCATTAATTGTCTTAAACTCTGTGAAGTCAAACTATGGGCTTAATTATAGAGCAAAAGAAGTATTGGCTATCAAAAGGAACTTTGTAAGTATATATACACGTATGGTAAACCTGGCACAACAAGTGTGTGTGTGTATTCAAGAAGCTGTTTATTTTATCAACAGAATGTATTACACTTCTGAAGAAGTGAACACAAAAAGAACATCATTAGATGTATACTGCAAGATTAATCAATCAGGAACGATATAAATATGCCAGGATGACTATGTATGCATTGCCCCCTCGCTCCCCTGCTCACCCCCACACCCCACACACCCACACACCCACACACCCACACACCCACACACCCACACACACATAGAAATATATACAGAGGAAAGTAAATAAACATTATAAAGCATTAGCAGGTCATAATCATTTGAAGTTTTTCGGAATCCTCATTTCATAGTTAGAGGCCAACATAACTTTTAGGCAATTTAGAGAGTCAAAAGACTTGCCTTTACTCTTGGAATGAGATACAACCACCACTACCAATTTGCTATTCCTTCCTCGGATTGCTGCTCTGTCCATATCCACACATCATCACAGGCATTTCCAATACAGAAATAATATTCTAGTAGACACACACATTTAGGCGTCCAGCCATTCACATGGTGACCAAGAAGCAAATATTGCCAGTGTCACCGGTGAAGAACTGTAGTGACAGAAAAGGGACCAAAGATTCATACTTGAGGTTTTCAAGATCGGTGCAGACCTGAAGCCACTGAGCCGGGTCCCCGGAGACGTGAACGGAGTCAAAAATGGCGGCCACAACGGCAGGGACTCTGGTCCTGTGCTTGGAAAGCCAATCTCTCTTCAATATGCCACCAACTGGCTGGGCTGGGGCTGAATTTTCCTTCGCACGCTTTGATAGTATCGAGATCTTTGAGAAATCGGGTAGCGCCAGAGAGTTAATCGGCGGCTGCTCCGCATGGAGGTGCGCCGTGATCGGTGCGTGCAGATCCGGACACCCCACCAGAGTCACCAGAGCGATCGGCGGAGTGCGGAGTTCATCTGGAAATTCCTCCATGACTCCTTACGTAATTTACTCTGATACGGCGGCCCCGGCGGAAGATGACGGCGGCGCGTTGCCGTTAGTGAAATTAAGCTGATCTGTGAATCACATGAAAAGAAATTTTGGTGGTGCATTGTAGATGCACTTCTACGGTTTAATCAATACATTGGGTCATTCTAAGTACTGGCCCAATATTAAATGTATTGCTGGCCCGATAATTAAGAACTGGACGGCCCAGTTATTCAGGGTGATCCATCCGAAATGAATTGGCATTCGGATAAATAACGTTTTCACCGACAAACTTTAGACCGAAAACTAATCAAGGACTTTCATTCAAAACCGGTCTAGGGATATTTTTGGAAATCGGAACCGGTTCAAAAAAATTTATTTTTGCCATGGAATTACTTTATAGCTTTATTTGTACATGAAATTCAAGATATGGAATTGGAATTAGAGATTGTAATTTTAATTTTGTTATTTACTAGCACAAAAATATGTGAATTTAAAATTAGTAATGCAAAAACTAAATTATAATTGGAGATTTTCAATTTCATCCAACTCAATTCTATAAAATTTTAATTTTAATTAAATTTCAATTCTGTATGGGAGAAAGACCAAAGTATGACTAAAACATTGAAAATATATCAAAACATGACTTCCATGTTTTTATTCCCGAAATAGGACTTACATTACCAAACATGACCATGTACATTACTAAAAAAATGTATGATAATGTGCACATGTACAGTGCCACATTACCACAGTGCAAACTCTTTTTTCGGAAAAAAACATGAAAGTCTGATTTTGGTACTTTTCTCTATGTTTAGTCCTATTTAGGGTGATTTCTAATTTTGTATACCAAGCAGACCTTATATATATATATATATATATATATATATATATATATAAAATAGATTTAGAGGTGTTTTTTGTACTTATAAATTTATCAAAATTGTTTATTAGTTATTTATAACTTATAATTCAGTCAATGATGTATTCCTTTGTATTTACAAAGTGACTTATAAAATGCTTATAAGTCAAAAAAACAAATTAGTCCTACTTGCTTATTCTTAACTTTGTTTTTTCGTTTCTATATTTTGACTAGATTATTAATAAAACTATCTCTTGCCTTTTATAAAAGTTCATAAGAAATTGGAGACATTCAAAATATTACTTCCTTTATTTGATAAAATAGTTTTGTCATAACTTTTTACACATCTTGCAAAATACTTCTACCCACCTAAGATGTTTAAAATATTCCCAGAATAAATTCCAGATGCGATAAAAATGAAATATGGTGTATTCACAAGAATTTCAGGGGATGGTAAAAGTGTTCGTGAACTTTTTTCACAAGAATTTCAGGGGATGATAAAAAAGAAATATGGTGTATTCAACTCCTTCCTGTTTCTTTCAACTCATTATTGTTTCATCTAACTTTTTTCAATTTTTTTCCAATAGTGTCTAAAAAAATTTAGATGTATTTTTCATTTGTTATTATTATTGTTGAATGAATAAAAATAATAAAATTGATTTATTGTCACGCTTTATTTGAAAATTCATTCAGGAGCTGAGGTAAACTTTATAAGTTACCATTATTAAAATCTTAAATTAATTAATTTATAATTCACCTTGTGATTTTGAAATTTGTGTTACCTATGTTTCTTTGAAATGTGTTATAATCGACGTTTTAAAATTTTGATCACAAACTATGTTTTAAAATTTTTACCAAAATAATTGTGTACTTTATTTTTCTTTAATTAAGCAATTACATAATGTTTAAATGTGCATACTAGTTTTTATAATGTACACATTCTATGGATATGCAAAAAATAAATGTTCATATATCAGTTTAATGAAATCAATGCTCTAAAGTATGGAGTATATGTGAAGAAATAATAGAGTGAAATTAATAATGTCTATTTAATGTTTAAATGTGCACATGACCCTATTTTATTGGTTCATTTGTCTCATTATTTTTGTCGCATGGATTAGTGACTTACAAATTTAAAAATAATATTTAAATGATTGATATTAGTTTTATAAAATAAGAAAATAAGAGTGCGAGTCACACAAAAATTACTAATATGATACGAGATGAAATATAATGGCATTGAATAAAATAAAAAGAGAAAAATAATTTTAAAAAGTAGAGTATAAATTATTTAAATAAAATATGAAATTTATAAAGTATACTAATTATTTCAACATTTTTTATTCTTTTCAATACCATTTTTCAAATCTTTTTAATTTCTTCAAATTCTTTCTGGTTCCTTCCAATATTCAATTCTGTTTTTACAACTAAAACTTGTAGAGCCATATTACACAATTTTTAGGATATGCTTGGTGAGCGAAATGGAAATGATTTTTAATACAAAAATGATAGAGGTACACCATTTGGAGTACCCCATTTGTACCTCCTTCATCTCCACCACACAAAGCAAGAGAGAGAAAAATTATTAAAAATAAAAAAATAAATGAAGGGCTAGAATGCATGGTGTATAAAATGGGGTACCCCAAATGGGGTACCCCTAACATTCCTCTTTTTAATATAGTACATAATAATTAGTCCTTAATAATAAATGGGTTTTTATGTTTAGTCTTTCATTGTCATATATTATGCCCGCGATCATTCTTTGTATGGGTAACGTTTCATGAATAGTTTTTTTTGACCTTTTGTCATGTTGGTAATAAATTATGAGCTAAAAGTATAATTTTATAATGATTTTATATCTTTATTGGCAATTTGTCATAAGTATTGACATAGCTCGTTGTTGATGAATCGTTGACTACTGCAGCCATAATCTAAAGGTCTTGTCTCTGGTTATAATCATAGCCCACAACTATATTCATTATTATTATATTGTCTTTCAAGTCGATATCAGAATATGTCACTGAACAATGGTCGATGTGAAATTACATTTTTAGTCCTCAATTCAACACCAATATGAAATTACATTCACAAAAAAGGTTGACTACAAACGCAGTATTTGATCATAAAAACTAAATATATACTTCATATGAGAAGCTCCATGTTACAAAAGATCAACAATAGAATTTTATTTTTTTAATACTTGGGTATCTTTTTTTATGGAATTTCTAAAATCAAGAGGGTATATTCAATTTAGATTTTAAATGACTTTGATATGTTCTATAGAATCAATAGATTATGTGAAATTCATAGATAAACTGTATTGCATTTTATCAACATGATTTTTGAAATCTTCCGTCAACCATCAATTTATGATATGTGCAGATTTCACTGGGGGCATTATGCAGTTGGAGAAGATAGAGAGTTCAAAAGTGGTAGACTCGAGTTCGATTGTCGAGGCTATTGCGTTGAGATGCAAATATGTAAATAATAGAAATCCGCAAGTATCAAGTATAGGGTTTAGTTTGTACCACCAATCTGTGATTAAAATTAAATTTATGTATTTTCAATGATTGTCTAACCAGGCTTGAGGAGCCCTCTGGGGTGTGAGTCATCTTTATATTTATGTGCATATAAAAAAGAGTGTCAAACTTCAAACCACTCGAGCATTCACATTAACGTCATAGAAATGTTTGGTTCGCAAATGAAATGGTCACAAAAATCACAAACTTACTATTTGTGAACTTCAATAAAAAAGTAGTCTAAACTAATTTCAAAATGAGAATTTAATCAATTAATAGTAAGTTTATGCATTTTGGGACCATTTTATTTGCGAACCTAACATTTTTTTTAATATCATACAAAGTACTGTATTATCAAGCTACAAAATTGATCTTCATAAGTACCCCTTAAGGCGTAACAAATATTCGGTATGATCAATAGTATACTTCGATCCCTCTCTCATTAAAAGATTGGTTTTTGGCTAAATTGTAACATTCTTTAATCATAATTTAACTATAGTTTAAAATAATTAAATATTATAAAAACTTGATATTTCAAAACTTTATTTTAAAATAAATCTAATTTTACTAAATTTACATTATAACTAAATATAATTTTTACAAAATTCATAGTAAAAATATTATAATTTAACTAAAAAATCAAAGTGTGACAATGTTTTTCAAAGAGTACAAAATGATCAAAAATACCGTAACAAATATGTCCAATATAATACTCCCTCTGTCCACAAATAAAGTTCCCATTGCGCATTACGATGTTTGACTGGAATTATTTTCAAATCATTTTATATGAAAAATGGTATGGAATTAAAAAATTGAAATTACATATTTAAAAACTACATGAAAAGATATACAAAACTAGTGGTGACATGACTATATTATTTTATCAAACAAGACACAAAAATAAGCCAACAAAGTGAATAAAGTTTGATCCTGTGAATAGTGAACGAGAACTTTATTGTTGGACGGAGGGAGTAAATGAATGAACATGTCTAATCGACTGTCTGTATATATCTATATATACATGACCTAGGTTCCCATAACATTGGGAACCAATGTCATGGAATGACCCAGGAGCATTTCGGTGTCCCGTTTGTAAAATTGATGGTTCTTAACCTCTAACCCTCATCCCGTCCCGACCCGAACACACCCCCACCTCCTTCAATTGCACCCCACAAGTTGATTTTGACTTTGGAATCAAAATTTTGACTCCAAAGTCAAAATCAACTTGTGAGGTAAAATTGAAGGGGGTGGGGGGTGTGTTTGGGTCGGGGCGGCGTAGGAGGTTTCCCGAGAATAGGAACCGTCAATTTTACGAACGGGGCACCAAAGCACCCCGGTGATTCCGTAACATTGGTTCCCAATGCCATGGGAACCTTGCCGTATACATGTACAAAAAAACTAGGGCAAGTTTGATTTGAGGGAAAAGGGAGGAATTTGGAGGAAAACATAACCCACTCTTTCCCATCCAATCAACCAAACAAGCCCTAAATCAAAATCTTATTATACTGCGAGCACATGCTTCTCCTCCTCCTCTACTACCGAGACCGAATTCCTCTTGATGAAATCCAAGCAATCGGCGATCGCCTCCGAGTAAAACGAGTTTGACCGCCCGTAAGACTTCAACATCGGGCGGAGATGATCGCCGCCGCCGCCGGCTCTGCCACTCCTGCGGCGGTACAATACACGGTTCAGCGTCCGACTTATCCACATCACGCGCCTCTTCAGCGACCGGAGCGCGTGGGAG